ATATTTATTGTAAGTACATATTATGTAGAGTCTAACACTTTTTGGACAGAAAAAAATAGAGGAGATATTAGAGTAAGGTCACATATTAAGATATAAATATTAAGAAATACACATATTCAAAATACATGGTAATTAAATATCACAAAAGAAAATAATTATGTAAGTTATTAATTTTAATCATTAACAACACTCTATATACATTAATAAGAAAAATGCAAACCAAATGCACTGAAATGTGACATAATTCTAATAAGAATATTCACAAATGTGTTTCATATTTTCTATGCTTTTGCTAAGATTTTTCTATCATTTTCCACCTACAGTACATTTTTAACTAAAAATGTTCATCATGTAGGTTTATTTTTCTTCTCTTCAAATATATGCATCCAATACATTGTTATATGTACATACTGATATACAGTATACACACACATAGAGACTAAAATACTGGGAACCCAACTATACTGACCTTTTACAAACAATTAGAACAGAAGGGTTACGAGTTCAGAGTCTGGATGGAACTGAGGTACCCATGAACAGTGTAGAGAACTTCACTCAAAATGCTCCTGTAAATTCTCTGAACATAAAATAGGGTCTCTTTGTAAATGAGACATTGCCCTTAACTAAAAGCATCTGGTTAAATAGTGACAACATTGAAACAAATACAAAATTGAAAACAATGTGGCCTTTATTCCTCAAAACATATTTAGAACCCAATCCCATTCTATCCATTAAGATCACCTTCATCTGGGTTTAGGATGAATAAATATCTGAGATAATAAAGGATTATTATAATAATATCAAGGTGTGCAGGGTCTTTTAGATCATTTTTCAATAGCATGGATAAGCACCTCATCCCCAACTACTGTACATCCTGAAGGAGAATGAAAATAATCTCTTCATTAGACTGGGAGTGCATGTGTGGACATACAGTAACATAGGATAAATGGTTGCTCAACAAGCGCGGAAAAGATATCACTGGAAATTTAGCAAATGAATTCACTACACCCACACATTACTGAATATTTGAGCTAGGGAAGGTGGACACTCACACAAGAAGTTGAAAAGGACCAAGCTGGATGAGGATAGCAGGAATAGAGATTGATGGAAGCTTTTCTGGAAGACCCTGATCCAGACTGGTAATAGCAATAAGTGTTGGTAATAAAAATGATATATACTTTATGTATATATCATTCTTATTAAATAAATGTTAAATAAATAAGGATATAAATTGCACCTTAATAGAACTGAAAATGATAAACCAGAGATTCAAAAAAATCACAGTGGACTTTTAAAATAACAATTAAAGTAGCGTGCTACAGTATATTGTTTTTATTTCTTTTGTATACTAAAATGTGTGTAAGCCAATTACACCATTAGGAATACTACAGTAAATATCACACAAATGCCACAAAAAGGAAACAAAACTACATGTGAGAATAGGTTAAAAAGATACCAAATCTTCAGCTATTAAAGAGTGATCTAAGCTACTGGCAAACAAGTATTTTACTTATGCTTACTTGCGTATGTTTATTTTACAAGTCGACTACTCATTACTGAACACGGAACAAAGACTTCTTTTGCTGTTTCAAAGTTCACAAAGCCTTTGGACAAGCTTTTTCATATGCCCAGACTATATTTTTATTTTATTATAAATATGAACTTGAAAAAAGGAGAAAAACATGGGGTCACAAATTAATGCATAAACCCCTGTCTGATACCAGATAAGTTCTAATTGTTCTGATCATAAAAAATACCTTTCATGAAGCGTCTGTTTCAACCATCCTGATTAAAGAATGCATGATACTTCAGTGACAAGATGGTATTATTAATTCATTGCAAACAGTGGATTTGGGTGTGTTACTTTGAAAAATGTTCAAAACTGGCGGCCTGTAATAAAAGCACTGAGAAAAATTCTTGCTCATTAACATTTAATCATAAAATTCTCTTTCATATGAAATACCCAATATAGACTGTCAGAATCAATCAGGTGTCCAGAAAGGAGAAGACATGCCAAAAGAATGGGGAATATGTCAATTGTGGCAGTCGCTGTTTCTTCTATCTGTCATGTTGCAGCCCAGCGTTTGGAAGACAGTCTGGAAATGTGATGCTGAGGTAAAAACTGTTCTGCCAATGCAGTGCCGCTGACAGAAGTCTCAAGTAGGTTGTGTTATCTTACAACAGTGGAATAGTGTTCAAAGGCAGGCTTCTAGTTCGCAGTCTTCAGAGTATTTTGATGAAACCTCTCTTTGTAATTTTATAATCATACTTATACCCCCGGAGCCTTCATGCGTTCCCTTCTCTTCACCTTTATAAGGTGGAGTGTGTGGCACAGGCAGGCAGATGGATTTGTGCAGAATTTGGCATTTTGGTTGCCCAAAAGCTACTGTATATGGGAAGATTGCAATGTTGGAAGATTAAGTCCTCAAATATTTATTTAATGGAAATCTACGTAGTACCTCTGTAGAAGAAAGGACACATTTATCACTGCCAACGAAAGACCCCATCAACAACAACAGGAAAAATATTTTGCACGTCTTTCCACATTTCCATGTAATATTGTTGTTTCTTAACACTGAGAAATGCATCATCCTAACCAAAGAGACTAATCCAAATCAACATGAATCATCTTTTTTTCAACCGATACAAAAAGCTGGAAAACACTTTTACTTGTGATAAGATACTTTTAATACACATTATTACTATTCAATCTGTCAATCAAAAGCTAAAGAACTACCTCCAGCCTACCTATTCTTGATATGAATCCTTGATATAATACTACTGATTTAATTTTATTTGGTTTCTGTTTTTCTCATTCAGTCTCCTTTTATATTTTAATACAGCCTCTTTGCACTTATTGTGTATTACCACTGAGTTTCGTTAAGCCCTGGCAACTAGTCGCATGAATGAATTATTAAGGTCATAAGATGAAGAAGTACTGTATATTGTAATTAAAAGTAAAAAAAAGCTGTTTGTCACTTTTGAAGCCCTGGAGGGTTTCAAGGAAACAGAGCAAACTACAAGAATGATTTGGCACAGCAACAAAAAATATTTAAGATTTAGTAGGGAAGGTCAATGTAAGTAACAGAAATAACAGAAAAAGAAAAAAAGTTCTAAAACTAACAAATGTCTAAATTACATAAATTGGCCAAAAGTGAACCAAATGTGCAAGCATTCAGCAACTGCATCCTGATACTCTGCAATGTGTTGCATCAGTCAGAGCAGCTGTGGTAAGACTGACTGCCCCTAAACTGTGCTGCTGAGATTGCATCTGTAAATCTGTGATTTCAACTGTCCCCAGGGACACAGGCACAGGGGACTAAGGTGATTATGCACATCATGGAATGAGAATTTACATCCTGGCCTTGAATACTCACTGAATACCTGAGTAGATGGTGGAACATAAAGGAACATTGTCACAATGGAGGTCAACAAACAGAAGGCCACCATCATGAGGTACAGAGAAGGAATGACTAATATTGTCTCATCGTGGAAAACCCTTTTTTGCTGACTGCCTCAGGCCAGGCGCTGAGCTGATGGTTATCAGCATCATGGCTTATCACCTGGTGACTACATGTTGCATACATGGTGAATACAAGTTGTTGTGTTGTGTTATTTTCATCCATGGCAGTCAAGGATATGTAAGGTTGTAATTTCAAGAGCATGTGTTTACATGATAGACTGGGCAGCAGGGGAAGTTCCAGCCCTCCTGATGTAGGGTTCCCTGCTGCGTATATGAGAGAAGCAGTAGCAAAAACCATTTGACATGGAGATTACACAGCTGTGAGAAATGTTTGTTTTTTGTGAGGAAAAAGCTATTTGAGCTTTATTAGTTACTATTTATTATTGTTTCCATGTAACACCTTTGCCCAAACACACTGGAGATGTAAATCCCATAAATATCCATGATTACAGAATAATGCCCAGCCCTACATTACAAAGCAAAAATGTTCCAACCGAAGGCTGTCACTAGTAGGTAAATGTACTGTATACAGTAAACCAAAATGTAGATATAGCTCTAGGTGTGGTTCTACTGATCAATTCAGTTTTGTTTTCATTACACATCTTTAAGGAGGACAATGTAACTGTAAGTGTAACTGAAGCATGAATGAAGACTTACCTGACCAATAATAAGAGGCACCACCACAGTCATGAAAAGCTGGGAGAAGATGGAGGAGAAAGGCACTGAGGAGGAAGAGCCAAGCTGCAAGAATGAAAAACAGAGATTTCATCTCATTTTTAAGGAAGACAACAACTTCCTCCGAAAGAAAAAAGTCAAGCATAGGTTCCACATGATCTTTGTTAAAACAATGGATAGCAAAAAAGTCAACACAGACCAAATTCAAGTGCTCAGTTTTCACTTAAATGGGGCAACAACACACAGAACCTCTCCAGACTCTCTAGATAAGACCACAAGAACAGTAGTAGTTTTTACTAGGGTATTATAAATCTATTCCCACTATTCTACTTCCAAAGGTATTATTAAAAAAATATTTATTTGCTGAATGTCATTTTTCTACATTCATGTGGTTAAATTAGATCAACACATGTAAGACAATGCTGAGCTATGGACCAAGTTCTCCAAAAACAGAAGAACTCTGGCAATGTCAAAGTGGGATTGGGACAAAAGAGCTTCTACATTAGAAAAATAAAAGAAGATATGGAATCTAAACCACTACTTACACTGCATTAATTTCCTAAAAACTTGTAGAGCTAAGCTTTCAGAGCACTTCACAAGAAAATCAGAACTACAGTGTTGATTCCTATGGGTTATTATTTACAAGCACTGGCTATCTGAGGTCAAGTGTAGTAGACTTCACATGTGTACATATTTTGTAAAGAAAATTGTAAAACATTAATCCTGAGTGCTGAATTATTACAAAAACAAATGACCTGTGCTCACTTGACCTTTTTGGGCACAGTAATGTAACTCTAAAACAGGTCAGCTTTGAATCCCCCCAGCGAACTTAATGGCCACCATGTGTATTCCTGGTATATTATGCTACAGTACTGTACCTTATGGAAAGCAAAAAAATCTGCTGGAAACAGATGGCACATTTTGAGCTAATCATAGGAATCTGCTGACCTGTAAACAAAACTGGCAGTTCTTAATGCACCACACACTCCCTCCCTTCCCCTGAATAATCAGCGACTCACACCAAACACAGCAGCAATCCATTATCATGACCTTTGTTATTGCCCTGCTTCAATGTGGCTTTTAAGACATTTCTATATTTAGCAATTCACCCTTCAAGCTGACTTGCCCCAGCACTCATCTGCATGTGGTTGAAGGTAATAAAAGAAAAATTAAAGCATACATTTGTCCGAGACCCTGTATTACCAGGAGACTTTTTAGAAGAGCTTTCCAGGGTGCAGCAGTGATGAAACATCAGATAAGCATTTCAGATGTTCACACACAGTCTAGCTGCAGGTATATGGATGAAACTCCCTTCTTGCACAAGCTGTGAAATATGAGCTGACAGTTCTCAACTAAACAGGCTTAATGTCAGCACAGAGACATAAGACATCAGAAATCCTCCAGCACTAATATGGCACTCAAAGTCAAAGGAATGTCTTCTCAATTAGGAAAATAATTTGCTGGTGTAGATATGAAGGTTGTCACTGAGGTACAGTTTGACATACAGTGACAAGAAGGGTAAAGTGGGAATAAAAACACACTACACAAGATTTCGACCTTTTCAAGGCTAAGGGCTACTGCAACAAAGATGCATCTAAACTACTGCACAAATATTTACTGAATGTCTTTGTCTTGAACAAAAACCCTCATGTGTTTCAGTTACACTAAGTACAAGCACCTCTAATTACAGTGGAATTGCATGTATCTTTTAAACTACTTCCAGTATATTCAATGACAGCCTTTTGTACAATCCTCTGCTTCAGGTTGGGGTACACTTTCAAATACCATATTCAAAGTTAGTTTTATAATTTTAATTATCTTCAATTTACCTTATTAACCCATTGACACCCATTGGTTTCGTTTAATATTAAAGCACCCTTAGATGATGTACCATTAAAGGCATTTTACAAATATTTTTATTAATATTAAGTACAAGGAAAAAACATGCAGGTACAATGCGATAAAAATGCAAAATTTAAATGATAATAAGAGTAGCATAAGTTGGGAAAGTAACACAAGTGTTATACAAACAAAATGAAATAATATAATTGAAAACATGTAATATGCAATATGAAATATACAGTACTGTATATACACATTCGTAGCTAAATATATTTAATTTTAGGTAGTTAAAAATCGAAGGAATAAGAAGAAATATATATTTTTTAATATGTACTGTATAATTGCAATTATTTTTTATTTGGAATTGTTAATAATTCCTTTGAATCTTGTCTCAGAGTGACCTGCAGGGCAGTGTGAGGATGTGCAGACCTGCTCCGGCCTGCCCACCCTTCATGCTGTTCATCTGTTGGCTATACTGTGGTCCATGAGGGTCCTAATACCCCAGTATAGTGATGGGGACACTGTACTGTAAACAGTCACCATCCTTTGGATGAGACATACAATTGAGGTCCTGACTCTCTGTGGTCATTAAAAATCCCAGGGCGTTTCTCAAAAAGAGTGGGAATTTCCAATTGGCCCTTACTAGTCATGGCTACCTAATAATCCCCATCTATGAATTGGCTTCATTACTCTGCTCTCCTCCCCACTGATAGCTGATGTGTGGTGAGCGTTCTGGCGCACTATGGCTGTCGTCGCATCATCCAGGTGGGGCTGCACATTGGTGGTAGTGGAGAGGAGTCTCCATTACCTGTAAAGCGCTTTGAGTGGAGTGTCCAGAAAAGCACTACTGTATATAATTGTAAGCAATTATTATAATAATTATTTTGATTATTATTATACACAGGCTCCTCAGCCTCCCTTTAGTGCTGCTTAGAGGACTTGTGTGTTTCGGACCCTTGCTAACATTACCACGGATGAAGAAAGAGTCATTGTTTTTTGCTGCGGCTCGAAAAAACAGATGCTAATGAAATTACCTGATTCTGGGACAGACCTTTAAAAAATGTTAATTGTTCTGATTTGTGCTTTTGGAAACTGGGGAAAGTGAAACTGTTTTACCAGCGTGTGTAGTGTTTTCTTTCTAACCAATCTATAATTAATTTCTGTTGCCTTTATAAATTAAGCTGAAATACAATTCAACCTATTTTATTACTATTAAACCCCTTCAGGTTTAGGAATTGCTTATCTAAAGACTAAGAATTATAGTGTAGTATCATTAGTTTTCATTATTATAAGAGTATTTACTTTGAGCTGGAATTGTTACATAGTTGTGGCCTTAAAATTAAAATGTTTCATACCTCTGAGAGAGTTTTGGTCAACTAATCCCAACCCAGAGGTGACACTGAGCCAACCGTATGCTGTACTACAGACAGTGACAGAGCCTAAGCTCCAACCCGTGAAATCCTTAGATAATAATATAAAATTATGTTTTTGCTAAGCTTTCATCTTCAAGCAGCCTGGGTTTCCCTAAACATGAAGGTCATTTTTTAAAATAATTAAAATTAGACCTTTACCAAATTGTTTCAGCTTTTTTTCTAAATAGTTTTGCCATGCATTTACATTACTTTTGACATGAGCTCAGCCTGTACTTAAAGAGAGTGCCTTTACTGTTGATGAGCCACTCGGGAGCTCTGACTTAGAATTTTAAATGCAACAGAAAAATCCACAAGAATATTTAAATAAGGGTGTGTTTGCTGCAGCTCTGAAAAGCAGGTCAATCTTGCTTTCACACTGTTCTCCCTTACACAGCTGTGGAAGGCCCAAAGCAGGCCTTGGGAGATGCCAAAACCCTCTAGTCTGCAGCCAAATGAAATGAATAAAACAAGAACACTGTACTTACAAAAAACAGGAGCAGCAGTGGTGTTACTATAATACCCTGAAAAACAAAGAGAAATATTGCTTTATAAATCACAGAACACAAAAATGAAATTTAAATTTAGAGGCAAGGAGTTTATTTCCATGAATAACTATACTTCGGCATGGCTAAAGATTCCTTTTTTTCATTTTGGAAATGCAATAAAAGCTTAGGGTTAATTTACTGTGAAACCCAGAGATTGTGTATATGCTGTACACAGACCTACTGTTGTAGTAACAAAGTTAGAAAATCCAGGGCTGAACTGAAAAAATTTCTAGACCCAAAAAATGAAATTACAAACTGTTTGACAACTGTGAACTGACGGCGTTCTGACGCTGCTGGGTCTGCAGTTGAAGTTGAATGACTGGTCACTTGCAGCCTTGTCTTATTCAGAGACGTTAAAGAAAACACACTTGATTTCTCTTTTTCCATCTGCCGAAATGAACCTGGATACCTTCCGCTTCTCGTATGAAACCTTCCTTTTTGATACATTTACACTTCTGATTTGAAAGGCTTTATTTCTTCCTGTGACAGCCAAATGCAATGATGGGTTTGGTAGGCTTTCTAAGATATAAATAAATCGCACTGTGTCAGAACTGCAAATGCACTTCTTTTGCAGAAGGAGAGGACTATCTAGCCATGGAAACATACTTCTAGCCATATAAATGTACTTAAAAATATACACATTTTTCAAGAGGAAAAAGCCAGTGTATAAATAATGAAAGGCTTTCTTTTATATTATTGCTCCTCAGTGTTATTTTTCCTCTGAAAGATTGAACTAACAAGTGAGGAACGCAGAAGCAGATACACTTCATATATGCCAACTGTGCAACAGTACATGTACTCTTGACTTATTCTAAAAGCTGTCAACAGCCTTGATTCTGTGAGGGAAATCTTCCCTCCCTTAAAGAGGCAATATGTTCAAGGGTATTATTAAGGTAAAATATCAGCAAAATATATCAAATGTTAGCCTTTCTTATGTATAAACTTTTTACATGAAGAAATGACTGATGTTTAGATAGTGAAGGTGTCTTCACTGATGGCTAATGTAGGCCTTATTCATCTTTTAAAAGAGAGTAAATCTTGTAATAATATTTTATAATAATAAAGCAATCTTAAGCTTAGAGTTGGAATATCCTTATACAGTAGATTCTTGTTATTCCAAAGAATGCATTTTACATTTTTTTAAATAATACAAGTGAGAGCAGTTCATAGAGTGCATCTGTGCTATTAATTAATTTAAGGAACAAGAACTCCCTTTTGTATGTAGAAGAATAACAAATATTTTCTATTGCAATAATACCAATAACCAGGTTATATAACACTCCAGCAGATTAAATGACAGAATCAAGAGAAAAATCAATGTTGGTTTACTTTGGGGAGGTAAACATAGCTGCTGGTAACATAACTTTTATTTTTTCTCCTTTTCTATAAACCTTGGGACAGTATTTAAGTATTTAATCAAGCCTGGTTACTTGCTGGTGTCCCGGGAGGCATTCACTGAAGCAAACAAGGTGTGCATTGACACAGAGCTAACTGCTTCAGGCTACAGTGAGACAGGGGCTTAGTCGTCAGGATGGAGATTTTGCAAAATGAAATGCTCCTCAAATCAAAACTCAAATGGTTTATAACAATTGCATGACATGAATGCCAGTGCCCTCTGTGCCCTTTCACTTTTTCAAATCAGTCTTGCCATTTGCGGATCAGAGCAAATTCCATTAAAAAAAAATCAAAAAGAGCAAAAAAAATCACAGTTTTTCTTGTATTAGAAATGTTTCCAGGTGCAGAACGCAACTAATAATGCCCAAAACTCTGTCAAGAAATCTACCAGAACACATCTACTGATTCAGTGGCTTAACCTTAACCAGTGCACAATCAGTTTTTCTTAAGAAACAGTCTTAATCTGGCTACTGTCTAATGGCTATGGTAGAACCCACCCAGACAACCAATAAACCCTGCAGATGTGTACATGAAACCTTCCCTCTTGAGCACAGCCAGTAACACAGAACAAATGCTAATGTGAAGATTGGGGAATACAGTATATTCATCCCCTGTTAAATGAGTACTTTACTTATGAGTACTCACTAAAATGAGCGATAGGTATACAGACACTATGAATGCGCATTATTGACATCACTATAATAATTAATAATTGCTTATGCTTATATAGCGCTTTTCTGGACACTCCACTCAAAGCGCTTTACAGGTCATGGGGACTCCCCTCCACCACCACCAATGTGCAGCCCCTCCTGGATGATGCGACAGCAGCCATAGTGCGCCAGAACGCTCACCACACATCAGCTATCAGTGGGGAGGAGAGCAGAGTAATGTAGCCAATTGACAGATTCCCTAGACAGCTTGATGACTTTGACTGCACAACGTTTATTAACTAACATTTCCCATTACTAACTTACATAACTAAACTATCATTTATTAAGGATTTTGATTAGTTCTCTTTATAATTATTGATAATGCATATGATAGAGATCATGCAACTTTTATTTGTCCACATAACTGCTTCATAATACATTTCAACACAACAACTTACATAAAAAACAACATACAACATTTGTAACATACTGTACAGTATATTTAATTCATGGTGCCACACTCTTCAAATACAGCAGAAAAGTACATTCAGTTAGCTGGTTTATGTCGTTATGATCTTGAGGCTTTAATCTGTATTTTAATTGGAATTTAGTGTCACCTTTACAATTTTCACCTACAGTACAAGCATAATGGAACTAATTGTGTTCATATGGTGAGGATGAGTGTATAAGACTTATCCCACATAGAAACAGACTCGCTGAACTGAACCTTTGAGAACTTGGACTAATAACTTGAGAATGGCGCTTTACCAGAATGAAAATGGAGAGAATGCTTATTAGATTACTGTATGTTGTAGCGGAAATGATGCCACTACGTTGATGCTGCCACGAAAAACAAGGTTGTCTCAAGTCGAGACATTTACATCATGCTGTCATTCAGACAGCAAGAATGATACTGACAATAGTTGGCCTGAAATTACAAAGTGGAAAAGAAAGTACCGAGTGGCTCAGTTGCTGAAGGCTATTGCCCAAGAGCAGGAAAAGCTCTCTGATGTGTCTGAATCTGGGACATGTCACTAGCTGACACAGACTAGGAGTCCTCAAGTGGCTGGGTGCCACCAGAGCTGGGTGGGATCATCTGACCAATGGTTTTCTGGCCTTGAGTGACTCAGTGACCCCCGTTACCTCCTGGCCACTTGCAGGCATGTGGTGCTGTCTGTGAGGAATATAATCCTCCTACAATCAGAGCTGAACCTGTGGTGTGAGACCATGGTGCTTGTGACGTGTTAAAAGACAACTGGATAAAAGACGAGTGGGTTGGAGGATTCTGACTACGTCTCATTCCCCTGTGTTTGGTCACAGAGTCCACAACGGTGAGACAAAACATGAAGAACTCCCAACTGGCAATAAACATAATTGGCAGTCCTAAACATATCTTAGAAAAATGCTGAAATTGTTAATTTATAAATTCAGACTCATTATTCAAGACTTCACTGCTGCCTATAAAGGACAATAAAAGGCAGGTATAATAAGGACTTTGAACCAAAGTGGACTTTTCTCTAGTTCTTAAAGAATAAATAAAAAATAAATTTTTATCTTTACATTTAAACTGTCAAATTTATGCAACCCTTAGATATTGAAGTATTAAGAATACATTTATTAGGTTATTCCATATTCATAAAGGTGCTATTAAAATTGTAACACAATTACTTCTTTCAGCTTAATATCGCTAAACAACATGTTGTGTGTTTTTACTGTGAATAATTAAGTTTTAATTGTACAAATTGTAATACTTGTTGGAAAAACATTCAGGTGTATGTTCCTAAGAAGATAAAACAATGACTTCCCTTCAGATTGCCTTAATGCAAAAAAACAGTTTTACCTGTTTTAAGACTTCATGCAGTATGCGGATTAAATTCAGTTATAGCCTGGGAGAAAGACCTTCTGAAGTAAGTGTTATTTGTCTTATTCAAAGTCACATAAAAGCAAGCAGAGAAAATGGGAGAAAAGCATTAAAAACCTTCCACACAACAGCAGAAAAGTTCGCAATCAACCAGCAACCTCCAATTTAAGAAAACAAAAGGAAGAAACAGACACTTGGTTAGCTCCTCAGTTTCATTTCAATGTGACATTTCCCTCGACTTAAAAGGAAACAGCCTTCTGCATCTATTTTCTCATTCTATCTTATCAGTTGCATTTAGCACATAACGAGGATAATAATAACACATATCAAAGTACCACTTTTGTCATGTTGCATTAGAATATTTCCTTTTCACTTATTTATTTTTCTGCATCACGATTGTTTTTGCATATACAGAGTGAAAGACAACTATTAAAAAATGAAAGGTATGTTTTCACAACCCCTGCTAGCTGTTAATTTCTAAATACTGTACCTCCTACTCTTATCCCTGCACACTTCATTTCAGTTTTATCTAGATGTCTTCTCTGCTTCCATGGTCTGATTTCTTTGTTTGGGCAGCCTTTCCTGCATTTCTAAAGATTTAAAAGCCATGCCAACACAGAAGTGTCTGACAAGTCAAGTTCATGTTAAAACAGCTTAGTTACTCTTATGAGTAATAAACATTTTATGAATTATGCTTACAAAAAGTGACCATGCTGCACATCTTAATATTTTACAATCCTGTACATGGAATTTAGTTTACATATCGACAATGTCAAAACCACAATAAACCAAAAGACTATTTTAATATATCCACTGCTTTCAGAAGCAGAGCCCCAACATACTGTAACAGATGAACTAAATTATATATTGAAAACAATATGTTTATCTTGGACACAACGGCTGCTTCCTGGCCTGATTTTTTTCTGTTCATCTCAGATGGGCAAATGCACTGAGATAAAAGAAAGGGTCTGAATATCAGTAAACCAGCACTACATTATCCCAAATCCACACGACAGTAAAACTCCAATTAACTCAAGCATTATAAGAACAGTTAACACATGATGCGGTCT